TTTGGTGGGCGATCGGCTTGAGCGGATGCAGTTCCAAGCGGATTTGACCACAGAGATCATCAAATAGTATCAGTGACCTACAATCGGCAAAGAGGTCGTACTATTTCACAAGAAAGGGGAACTTCGTAACATCCTGGAGGCATTGATTTCTAGAAACAAACTTTCCAGAGACAGGAAGGCACAGTTTTCTCATTTTTTTCTATCCTTCATTTTCCTTTGCCCTTCTTTTCTTCCACTAAAGCCAATGCTCTCGCATAGCCGTAAAGACTCCGGAACAACATTAAATATTTCTTTAAGTTCCATGAAAGTGGGGAAACTTGAAGTGGAGAATTTCGTGTAGTCGCCTTATCCATCAGTTTCCAAAATGCCCAAAAAGGTAGAAAGAGATGTGCAGGGCGAAGGAGAGAACTTTGCTTGAGAAGCGCAGCAAGAAAGAAATGAGAGTCTTGATGAAACAAATCAGTCAACACAGGATGATATCTTGCCAGAGATTGACAATTTGGCAGGCTTGGACACATCAAAAGGCAGTAGATTGATGAATCAGCCCTAAAGCTATTGATTTGAGGTCATTCGGGGGAACTAATAATGGCAACCAAAAAGGAGGGAGTCAGTCAGCGAGGCAGAAGACCTGCCCCAAATTTGCCACTAAAAAAGGGGGAGGAGGGTGGAAATGCCTCTCTCCTCTACTAAAAAGGGAAATAAATGCTATGGAATGAAAGCATCCGCGCGTATTTTTCCTTTTTAACAAAGAGGTTTTTATTAAAGATTTGGGACAAAAAGAAAGCGGAGATAAATACTATCACTTCTCCCCTGAGAAAAGAAATGTCTTGACCGCAAGACTCGCAGTGGCCAAGAAATTACTTTCTTACCTTGTGGTAAGTTGAGAATTCAAAAGGCTTAAAAATTCTTTTAAAAAACCCAGTTTTAAATGTGAAATGATAATTGTTGTTTATAGACGTCGAATAGGCGAAGAAATGTCAGAGATTTCTAAATCAATTAAATATCTGTTTTCTGTATTTTCCCTCCCTTCACCTCCATCCCCTAAGACAGAAGAGCAGGGAAGTGGAAGTGCATAGAAATAGATACTGGTGAAGAGGAAGGACTCCCTCTATAGGTGGATTAGACAGGCCATAGAAAAAAAGAGGGCGGGAAGGGGATAAAATTGTGGACGGAACTTACTGTTAAAGAATTAACTCATTTCGCCAGGTGGAGGAAGAGGAGAAAAAAGGTGGAAGTTTCCTATTGAAGGTCATGCAGAAAGGAGATGATTTTAAAGACAATGACGACGAAGGAATGAAAAAGGTGGGAAGCAAATTTCCCAACTACGAAAAGAGGAGGAAAAAACAGGGTTTTGAAAGGGAAGGAGAGACGAAGATGTGTTGGAAACCTCCCACCTCCCGAAATGCATCAATGACAACACAGCAGAGGCTTCATTTGGCCATAATTTAGCGAGCCAATTTTGGGGTGCCAAATGAAAAGTTATCACCACAAAAGAAAACGTGGTTAAGGGCAATAAGCATTTTCGTGACCCTTTTTACAAGGTGATAGAACCTAAGTGGAAAAAGGAGGAAGTACAAAAAGGCTGCTTCTGCCTTTAGCATCTGGAGATAGAAAATTGGATAATTCCAGAGTGGATGAAAATCTGTTAACTTCATAACAACACCGCTAATGCCTTAAAGACTGATTTTTTTCAGGGGACGAATCCAAGGGAAGTTCAACATCTCCGGAGCGAAAATCAGTGATCCAGAAGGTGCGGATGTGTGCGCGTGTGTGTGGACTGTAAATTCGAACAAATAAATTCACCAAACTGGGCTCTTCACTTCCACCTTTTCCTGACAAGTAGAGAGGGAGTGAAGAAAGTTATTACCAGAAATCCGCCAAATAACTACCGTTCTTATTCCTTGGTAAATTTAGATCTGTTGAATCGACCAAAAAGGCATGTTTTCTGTTTGTTCATTTGGTGAGGAAAAACTGGAGACATAGTTGTCGATTTTATTTAGCGTGGACACTTAAGTTTTTGTAGTTGGAATCGCCCCCTTTTAGGTGAGCCTACAATAACGCACAAAGGAAACAAGAGGCCTCCCAAAGTTCATTTCTTAACTTTTAACAGTCATCCAGTGTTGAGATGACACTGGACTACTCACAATATCCGGGACATGAAAAATGCACCTCTCATCCCTGTTTGAGAATGATAGGAGTCAGTCTGAAAAAAAAGATGACAAAGGAATTGATCCTGGTTGGTAAAGCTGTGAATAGGCTCTCCTTGTTGGCAAATTCTTCGTTTTGCAGTGAATATCCCGTCAAGAACCAAAGAAGTAAAACCTGGGGTCAGTGGAGGTGATGCAAGTGTTGGAATACACACACACAGAACGACCTACGAAAAATTTCTCCCACTACCCGTCAATAACACTGACAAGAGACCTGGCTCACTTAGCCGAGAGAGCACAAGTAGGCAGTATGACGCTACCTCTGGCAGGAGTACAGTTGTCGACGACAACCAAATCTGGCTCCACTTGCCAGAGATAATGATGTACAACCAAATCCTTAGGTTCCTCACCCTCAAATTGGATACAGTCTCCTTCAGACACAGATAAGTGAAAGAACCTTCAGGAGCAGGTTAAGAGATGTAATTTGCTTCATCTTGGAGTTCATTAGTGGAGGAATCATTGGGATCAATGATAGCTCGTGATTCGTACCTTGCCATGAGGTAAGGAACCGAGAAGGAAGGAGAGCGAGCATGGAAGGAGAGAGGAAAGGAAGCGAGTGAGGGGGAGGGGCGAGAGATAGCACTAAGATTTATGTAAATTAATGTTTTGCACACTGACCGCAATGATTTCTCAGATGCAAAAAAGTAACATTGAATAGCAGAAAGCATAAGCCGAAACTGAGCAGAAGATTAGGTGGTCTAAATAATATTCACACCAAAGAGGGACTTTTGGGGTTTGCAATTTTCCCACATGCGTTTTACACACTGCGATTGAATATTCATTGAATCAAACGAATAACAAGACTATAAATTAAGAAGCACTAAAGCCGAGGTTACAACAACCGGCAGACGTACAGCCAGGCAAATCAAAAGACACGCACATTAAAAACAATGAAAAATTGCCTTATTTACTGCATTATGCCTTCTCTAGCCAGTCTGTAGACATATTCTTGGACTTGGGGGATTATAAACTTACTCGTTCACAGAGTAGCTGCATGGCATTAACATACGCAACCACATACACACACAAGCACTACTATCATTTGTCTGCTACCTTGATCAAGCTGTAGTGATGTAGATTGGCTCACGCACGATCATGACACATTTATTACTTGCTCCTACCCCCTATTCTTTCTCTAGTACCTACCGCCACAGAAGGCATGGCACGAATTGACTCTAACAACGTCTCTCTCAAGCTCACAC